ACACACAGAAAGCAGGTGACACACACAGTGCTCAGACTGTAAGTGTATGTCATCCACACAACACATTCCACACTAACACCCACACAGACCCCGCACAGAGCCACCCAGTGTAGCCCACAGAGACTGCACATGCACCACTCACGACGTATAGACCCAAGCTGGACCATGCAGACTACACACACAACACGGGTAGTCCACACAAAGCGCATGACCTGGGCAGAGCTACCCGTGGGTCAGCTCAGCCAGCTGAATCCATCCTATTCCATTCTTTATAGTGAACACCTAACATTCTTGTAGGCATTGGGGATTTGGCAGGAAGCAAAACAGACACAGATCCCTGTCTGCCCTCATGGGACTTACATCCTAGTGAGTGAGACAGACAAGAAATATGATAAGTAAATACAGTGCATGACAGATGGGCCTACCAGGGAAAGAGAAATACGAAGTGGGGAAGGGGGGAGGGAGGCCCAGGAGGGCAGTGGGTTACAGTTTCAGGTAGAGTGGTCAGGGACGCCCTCTGCTTCATGAGGAGGTGACATTTGAGTCAAGACCTGGAGCAGGTGAAGGAAGGAGCCATGCATGTATCTGCAGGAACTGCATTTCAGGCCGAAGGGACAGAAAGTGCAAAGGCCCTAATTCAGGAGCACGCCTGGTGTGTTCAGATAACAGCATGGAAGCCAGTGCAAGTAGAGCAAGGAGCATAGGGGATAAATTTGGAGAGGTGACTCGGGGCACATCACAAAGGCCTTCTAGACCGTTGTAAGGGCTGACTCTTGATTTCAGTCCAAGTCTGGGGGAAGCTTTTGAGGGGTTTGAGTCGAGGAGGGACACGGTGTGCCTTACACTTTCACAGGCTTCCTCTGGCTGCTGTGCTAGGAGGACACTGTAGGGGGCAAGGGAAGAAGCAGGGAAACCATGTAAGTGGGTTTTGCCATAACCCAGAAGAGAGGTGAGCATGGCTTGGACCAGGATGTTGCAGTGCAAATAATGAGAAGCAGACAGACTGGACATACTTTGAAGGTCCGGGTTTCTTTGGAACGACAGGACTTACCAATCGAATGTGGGACGTGAGAGAAAAAAAGAGTCAAAGATGATGCTGAGGTTTTTGGCCAAACAACTGGGAAAACAGGACTGCTATTTACAGAGCTGGGAAAGACGGTGAGAGAAGCAGGTTCGGGGGAATATTAGACTGATTTCAGCATGTTAAGGGTAAGAAAACTGCTTAGACATCTAAGCAGAGGTTGTGAGGAGACAGTTGGACACAGGAGTCTGGAGTTCAGATGCACTAATACGATGCACGGTGTAGGTACTGTAACAGCACAGCAGCCACGGTAATGGACCTGTAGCCAGCAAACCCAAAAACATACCACCCCAACTGCACAGTATGCAACACGCACATCACATCACACGTAACGTGCGGCCTGTTCTCACCCCACGTGGGATGCACGTAACCCACACCCTGAATTGTATACGTGCAGTGGCAATGCCACCCAACTGCCGCGTAATCACGGACCCCCGCAAATGAACATCTCAAGTGCAGTCACACAAAACTCAGATCATCAGCACACTGGATTCCTGTCACGGATGCAGCTCTCAGTAAAAATCGCCTCAAGATAACCCCTTAAGCCCACTCCTGCCTTCCGCAACATAGTGCCCCTGCTCTCGTTTTGGGATGAGGAAAATCGCACAGTCAATGGCAGGGCCTTGAGGTTGGCTTTCCTTCTTTCTCCTTCCTGCACCTGGAGTCCTGTTTTTCTGCGCTCTCTTTCAGTACCGCACCCTCCCTCTCACTCCCACCCTGCTCCATCCACACATGGGTCACGGGCCCAGGCCCCACGTGGCTCCGTGCCAGTCCTGCCCTGCCCCCAGGGAACACATCAGCTTGGCACAGATGCACAGTGACAGGGACCGGGTGGCCTGCAGAAGTGTCAGCTGAAACACAGGGAGAAGGCCCAGGCAACTCCAGGGACACGTGTTGCCGCTCAGACAGTGCTGGTACCTGAGAGTGGCCGGATACATCTAAAAACAGGCTGGAAAAGTGGCAGCCAGAGTTAGGTGCTAGTCCTAACAGGCCTGTGGCACAGCGGTCCTCACACTGAGTAGCCAGTAATGTCTGGGTCACTAGCGAGCTTCCTAAAATATAATCCTAAATCTAAAAATGGGTTTTGTGTGTGCACGGGCTGTCATGTGTTGTCTCTGTTGCACGTATATGATCTGTGCCAAAACACGCATCCCACCCCTGCTACCGGCTCAGAATAAAGTACAAACTCCACACCCAGCTCACGGGACTCTTCGAAATCTGGCCCCCGGCAACCGCTGAAGCTTCATCTCTTGCCACGTCCCCACACACACTGTGCCTAAACTGAAGACTCACGATGACCTCCCCGAGTCTCACCTCTTCCAACTCTCCCCCTAGTTCTGACGTCTGACCTCACACTGTAGCCTCAGTCTTCTTTCTAGAACACTTAATGCTCATGTTGCCCCTTGAACTATTGCAGTGGGGCCCTACACAGGGGAGTTGGGGAGCAGCTCGTGCTAGGTAGAGGGGACCACTTTAGCAAAGGCCCGAGGTGGCCAAACTCTGCCATGGCTTGGTAATGACGGGTGGTCTGGTGGCTGGAATCGAGGTGTGTTAGGGGGTGATTGATGAGGCTGGAAGGGTTGCTCGGGGTCGCACCACAGGAGGCCTTCAGTGTGAGCCTAACGAAGTGGGCAGTCATAGAAGATTTGGGGGGAGTTTGTGTCTAATAAAGAGAAGGAAAATCGTTCTGTTATACATGGTACTTTGTACCGATGCTCTTCATACCTATATTTCATCTGCTCCTCTGAGCTGTGAGGCAGGAATTGCACCCCTCGCCCCGTTTTATAGGAAAATTAGGCCTCACCCAAGCCATCGAGTGACAGTTCCCTGCCTTTTGCACTGACCGTTTCTCTCAACCTTCCTGCACGGCAGCCGGCAGAAGCCCGTCCCTGATCTTCACTAACCGTCATGAAGTGCGGAGGATCGATCTGGTGAAGCGGGACTACTCACGCCTCATCCCCATGCTCAAGAATGTCGTGGCGCTGGATGTGGAAGTTGCCACCAATCGCATCTACTGGTGTGACCTCTCCTACCGCAAGATCTACAGGTGAGCAGTGCCAGGCCTGGGCAGAGTGGGGGCCTGAGAGGGGGAGAGGAATGGTAGCCTCTGTGCCCCGCCCACCCCCACCTTGAGTATCCCTCAGGACGGACTGGGACTTGGGAAAGGACATGCGATCACCATGGATACGGAGCTGCCAGACCTTCTCCTTCTCCTGGGCTGGCCTGGGCTGGCCTGGGCTGAGAGCTCTGTTGGGAGAGCAGCCCCAGGCACCTGGGCCTGACTGACCTCTGGTGGCCTGGTGGGGCAGAGCAAGACACAGGAAATGTTCCACTGGGGCAGAAAGGAAGACTTTCTGACTTTGGTGAGGACTTTTTTTTTTTTTTTAATGTTTATTTATTTTTGAGAGAGACAGACAGAATGCAAGCAGGGAAGTGCAAAGAGGGGGGGCGGACACAGAATTTGAAGCAGGGTCCAGGCTCTGAGCTGTCAGCACAGAGCTCGACATGGGGCTCGAACTCACAGACTGCAAGATCATGACCTGAGCTGAAGTAGGACCCTTAACTGACTGAGCCACCCAGGCGCCCCTGGTGAGGACTTTTAAAAGCAACTCGTGTATCTGTGTGTTGGATTCTAGGGATGACTGAGGTTGACTCAGTCAAAGATGACTTCAACCTGGTCCTGCCTGGAGGATCATAACATAGTGTCATAACATAGTGACATCTATTGTGGTGATCTTGAGAGAAAAGTACAGAGGGGGGCCTCTTACCCAATATGGGGCACCCTTCCTGGCTGGCACTACCCGCAGTCTGATGCCATAGTCAGTGGACTTTGGCTCTCCAGAAGTCCTCACACAACATGAGGAGGTCCTCTCATAGGTCTTTCTCAAATACCACAAGCCTGCCTCCCTGCATGCCTGGGCTCCCCTTTAGACGTCATGTCCTTTGTTTGTCCTGAGATCCACATGGCAGAACTGCTGATGACCAGGCATGGGGTAGACTGTTAAAAGAACGATTGGATGGATGGATGGATGGATGGATGGATGGATGGATGGATGGAGGCAGATCTATCAATTCCTACTCATGGACAATTTGATGCCTACCACACCCCCAACATACAGACACATACTCAGTTCACACACACAGAAGCAGCTAGAGCCTTGCCTGCCCAACAGTTATGCCTGGAAGAGGCAGGATTTGATGACAGACTACCTATTCTGGGGGTTTCCAGTTTCTGGCTTGGAAGGTTTTGTGGGCAGTGATGCCATTCTCTGAGATCTTAGCAGTAGAGGAGGATGGGGTCGAGGGTGGGGGGTTGCCCATTCAGGCTGGCTGAGGGGAGGGGAATGGGGTGGGCAGTTTTGGACATGAGTTCCAGGTGTCCATGGGACATCTGAGAGGAGCCAGCTGGCTTTATAGTCTGGAGCTTAAGAGAGTTGTCACAATGAGAGAGCCAGAGTTCTGGGTGGCAGTGGGCACTATGGAACTAATTAACTAGAGAGAGGACATGGGGGAGAAGAGAGCCTTGGGAAGAACAGCATTTGGGAGACAGAGAGTCCTGTTAGTGTTGCCTCTTGAGTGTCTACTGTGTTCTCAGCCCCTATTCTCCATTCTCACTGGCACAGCCTTTCTGCACACTCTTCATGTCTCACCCGGATGCTGTAATGGCCTCCTAGCCAGTCTCCCTGCCTTCACTCCCTCCCTTTCCAGTGCATCAGTGCCACAGTGATCTAACATGCCTCTCTGGCCATGTCCTCTGACCTTTTCAATTACTCCCTCCAGAATAAAATCCTCACTGCTTAGCATGGCCTGCAGAGCCTGTCAGGTTGTGGCCCCTGCCTACATGTACTTCCAGTCTGTATCCCACATACTCAGCTCTACCCCCACCGAATACCTCACTATTCCAGAACACATACCTCTGGGCACCTGAACATGCTATTCCTTCTGCTTTCTGTTCCTTGCGCTCCTAGCGAACTAGTCTTTCAGGACTCAACTACAGAGCCTTCTGCAGCTCTCCAGGATAATGGAGTCTCCATTTCTCTGCTGCTCTAGTCTCTGATGCTTTCCGTAGTCACATTGCACTGTAATTACCTGTCTGTAAATTCCCGTCTCCCACTAACCTGAGCTCCTCCAGCCCAGAGGCTGTGGCTGACTCAAGCCTGTATGCTTGCCTTGGTGGCCCAGGAAATGTGTTGAATAGGAAGTAGCCAAGTTCCTCTCAAATCCACTGCCATGGCCTAGAGGGAATTGAGAGAGGGAGAGGGCACCCAGGCAGCTCCAGATGGACCCGTGGCTGGAACACCTGCCCCACGGCCAGCTCTGGTTGCTCCTAGCGCCTACATGGACAAGGCCAGCGACCTGGCAGAGCAGGAGGTCCTCATTGACAAGCAGCTGCACTCTCCAGAGGGCCTGGCGGTGGACTGGGTCCACAAGCACATCTACTGGACTGACTCAGGCAACAAGACCATCTCAGTGGCCACAATTGATGGAAGCCGCCGATGTACTCTCTTCAGCCGTGACCTCAGTGAACCCCGGGCCATCGCGGTTGACCCCCTGAGAGGGTGAGTGTCCCCACCCAGACTTCCCATTCCCCCACCAGTGGCACTGAGTCCTGGTGTGTCTGTCACAAGAGCTTTCTTGAAGACTTTGGACAGCCCTGAGCCGCTCAGGCAGCCCAAGGGAAGAAAGCCCGTGTGGGTCCCTCAGACTGTTAACCCCTGACCAGGGGTTCCTTGGGCATCGGTCCCAGGTTTCTCCTGGACTCCACTGCTTGCCCATCATATCATAGAATCAGAGCATGTCAGAGCAGAATCGGGCTCCAGAGATTGCCTAGTAGAAGCTCCTGGGGCGGGAAGTCTTTCCTCAGGCTGCTGCATGCCACAGGTGGGCATCTGGTGGCTGCTCCCTTGCTCCCAGGAACAGGGTTTCCCACTGGGGCTGTTTCATTTCAAGACAGCTCTGCCCACTAGAGTGTTTCGGATCTTTTCTCACATTCCCAAATCTGCCTAACTTTGACTTTCTGCATTGGCCTCTGGAGTTACATCAAACATGTCTACTCCCTGCCCTGCATGACAGCCAGCAAGACAGGAGGACCAAGATCACTGGGTCTGCTCTGCTCCAGGCTGCCCACCCCTGTGCCCAGAGTGCCCTGGGTCCCTCACCACCCAGGCTGCCCTGATCTGGCCACACCTCCCTTTTGGGGGTAGAGATTCTGAGCAGAGCAGGCCCCCTCCCTCCCTTCCTCAGTGGGGATGTCCTGAGAGGGCATGGTTTTCGGCAGCTGTGTCATATTAAGTTTACAAGGATCACTAGTTTCTTCCATTTACTGATTCCTTAACTGTTAAACAGGGATAAGAAAATCCTCTTCTTCCAGTGAGGACAGCTGGGGGCCAGGGTGGCCACTTGAGAGAACGTGTGAGGCCCCGGGCAGTGACTTGACAGCCGCCATTTAATGAACACACATAGGTGGACCCCACACAGGACCAGGCACCCTACAGATGCTCAGCTGTCTCACGTAGCCCCCACTTCAGCCCTGCTCCCTGTATGCTTCCCCCCGACATAGTTATACCTAGCTCATCTCAGGCCCATTATGGATCTGTCAGGGTCCCAGCAGGAAACCCACCGCATACTCAAATTAAGATCATTTGAGGAGGGCTTAACAAAGGAATTATTTTACAGAGGCATGGATGAGATCTAATGCACTGTCCCTAACAGTGCACTGAGGGGCAGGAGCAGGGAGGAGTACTTGGTCCAGGAAGGAAAGAGGGTCACCTTCAGAGCAGTAGCCAGCTGGAGGCAACTTTGTAGAGAGGAGTCCAGAACAAATATCCTGATCTCAGTGTCTCCCTCCCTCTGCTCAAATATTTTGCCGAATGCACCTGGAAGCCAGGAGGCTAGGGAGCCAGGCCCACTGATGTGGTTCGCACATGGGTCAGTTTTTTGGTGTACAGAGCAGAACGGGGATGAGTGAAGAGCGAATCCAAAGTGGCTGACAGAAAATATCCAGGGCAACCACTCGGCCCCCCGAGCCCAGAGTCGGCCTTGGCTTGACACCTGGTTTCAGCAAAGGCAGTTTTGGGGAGAATTAAGCACACAGGCTCTCGAGTTCCACTTGAGTTTGTATTTAAATGTGAAGGCTGGCTCCACTGCTCATGAGCAGTGTGATCCGAGGTAAGTCAGCCCCTCTGAGCCACAATTTACTCATCTATAAAATGGAACTAATAATGAAAACATTACTTTATTCAGCAAATATTAAATAAGAGCTTGTTCTGTATCACGCATGAGCCACCTGCCGGGTACACAATGAGGCACAAGACGGACGAGCCTGCCCTCGGTGGAGCTTATAGACTAGTGGGGAAAATAGACAGTGAAATACACCAAACTACTCAAATGTGTACATAAATAAACTGATTGGGTAAGTGCTAGGAAGGAAAGATCCTGTGCTTTGAGAGATAATAACAGGGTAAGCCTACTCACAGAGGAGGTTTTGTACTGAAGAGATGTGTAACTGAGAAGTAACCAGGGGAAGAGCGGAGGAGGCCCGAGGCTCTGTGATGGCCTGTCTGACAAAGAAACTTAGTTCCTGCCCTGGAGGAACTAAGGAGCCCCGTGGGGAGGTGTGGGGTTTGGAAAGGTGGGGATGATGGCAGAAGAGACAATCAAAGAGGTAGGCAGGGGCCTGATGATGCAGAGCTCTGTCAGCTGTGGTAAGGATTTGGGGTTTTATTTTAAGGGCAATAGGAGAAGCCGCCGTAAAGTTTAAAAACTGGAGAGTGACAACTTGTTTCCATTTTTGAAGGCTCATTTGCCTGCTCTGTGGGGACTGGATTAGAGGGGCAGTGATGACTGCATTTGTAAGTATGTGAGGTGAAACCACTCAGCTCAGTGCCTGCCACACAAGTAGGTACTCCATAAATGGCACAGAGTAGGTACTCAATAAATGTTCAAGAAAGAAGAGAGAGAAACCCTGGACAGAGTTCTAGCTGTGTGACCCTGGGTAAGCTGTCCACTTTCTCCTCTGCACACCAGGAAATTAAAAGAGGGTTGACAAGGGCCTTTTTTGCTTTGGCCTCTTGGACTCTGGTTAGAGCTGCCAGAAGTGGGAGAAAGGGGCTCACAGGGGTGCCACGGAGGCCGGATGAGCTCTCTGTGAATACGGGCTTCTCCAGGCTCTCAGATGAGGGGAAGCTAACGCATCTGCTAACTATTAGATTTGATGATGGTTCCAGTGGATTTCAGAGCCCTTCCCAGTTCCCATCACGCGCAATCTTCAACATTCAGTGGGTCATTGAGTGCCGTGACATAGACAGCCCTAACCCTGTCCCCTGACAACAAGCACAATTGAGTTCTTCTTTCTTTTAGGTTCATGTATTGGTCTGACTGGGGGTACCAGGCCAAGATCGAGAAGTCTGGGCTCAATGGTGTAGACCGGCAAACGCTGGTGTCAGACAACATTGAATGGCCCAATGGAATCACCCTGGGTGAGCCCTGCCTTCCCTGGATTGGGGGCCTGTCCTACTACCTGATCCTGACCACCGTCTGGAGCTCCATGGGTTTTGTTTCTGTACCCGCTAATAGTGCCAGTGCCTGTATTTCCTGACGGTTGCCCCAGGCTGGCCTCAGTCTGAGGCCAGGCCCAGAAATATGGGTAGGGAAGAGGGCACAGAGGAGCAGAGATCCTGGTTGGGGTCCCAAACTCAAGACCCCATCCTCTGTCCCCTTTCTCCTCCCCAAGATTTGCTGAACCAGCGCTTATACTGGGTAGACTCCAAGCTGCACCAACTCTCCAGCATTGACCTCAGCGGAGGCAACAGAAAGATGCTGATTTCCTCCCCTGACTTCCTGAGCCACCCTTTTGGGATAGCTGTGTTTGAGGTGAGCCCCGTGACAGGAGACGTGGCCCTATCAGGAAACTGAAGCCTAGAAAAGCCTTATTCAAACCGATCAGCTCTCTGAGACTTATCTAAATGGAGACAAAGGGATAGGGAAGCCAAATGTGTACACAATGTGTGAGCTCCCTACAGACAAAGGCCTCTCAGGCTCTTGTCCTGTGTTCCCTTCCCAAGACCTCTTTCAGAGCCCTTCTCATGGGTAAGTTGCTAGACCATGTGTGTTTCCTCTCTGTACCCTCAGCACCTGGCACTGTAACCCCCATATACAGAAGTACCCAATAAAGGGAGAGAGGGAAGAAGGAATATATATTTCCATAAAACCTACTGTTAGAAATAGCCTGAGAGGTGCTGTTCAGTTCAGCACACTTTCACTGACCTTTGCTGGGCCCTGGGGTCACAGAAGTGAGTCGGACACCATCTCGGCCCTCGCAAAGCTCCCCAGAGGGTGAAGAGTCAAGACCCTCCTGAACCTGTGTTCTGACCCTAACAACCTTTCTCCTCGGGGAACGAGGAAGCCAGAACCAACCAAGGTCTCACACACCTATTTCTTCCCCTAAACTAATTCTGCCACCAAGGGGAGGGAAAGCAAGGGGACACTGGTCTATGGTGGGCATTGGCAATATCTGCTTGGAGTGACCTCACTCAGCACTGCTCTGAAATTGTGGGCAAAGCCCCACCTTCAAGTCCAGCCCCTGCTTCGAAAGACAGGTGTGTTCAGACATGTATGTGCTTGTGTATATATGTGGCATGTACATGTATGGTGTATGTGCATACGTGTACATGAATGCATCCACTTAAAATTGTGCCTTTCTCTATGTGCTCATGCTTGTGAATATGTAAATATGTATACCAATACTTAGTTAAGTGTTTATGTAGGTACAAGCGTGCCTTTGTGTGTGTAGATGAACATAGGGGTATGTGTCCAGATCTGTGCATGAGGCTGCATGGTTATACCTATAAATATGGATTTGCCTACAGATGCACCTGTAGTCTTATGTGAACTAAGCACTGGATGTGTATGTGTGTATAACCAGAAGCCGTAGGACAGCCTTGCAGGGAATAAGTCCTCAGCAGCTCATATATCCCCTCCAATCTTGGTCCCAGGCCCCAGTAATGGTAACAGCTATAAAGACCCAACCTTCGGTTTCTTCTGGACTCCAGGAAGCAGACCTAGCTCAGCATTAATGAGCAGTCTCCAGGCCAAGGCCCAGAATCAACAAATAGCCCTCTGTGACAGAAGGGAACCAGAGTATATGCCACAGACTAGAGGCTGAGTGTCCCCCTGCGAATCTGTGGGCAGGAGAGCTCAGGGGAGATGGCAGGGCAGTTCTTGTGACTGTGGTTTGGGGCCAGGCCCTCAGACTTACGGTCTAGCCTCCCATCCTCTGCATCTGTACCCTACAGGACAAGGTGTTCTGGACAGACCTGGAGAATGAGGCCATTTTCAGTGCAAATCGGCTCAATGGCCTGGAAATCTCCATCCTAGCTGAGAACCTCAATAACCCACATGACATTGTCATCTTCCATGAGCTGAAGCAGCCAAGAGGTGAGCCTTCCCTGGTCCCAGGTCCCCTGCCCTTGTCCTCTCCCTCCCCTGGGTAGGCTGCATTCACGTTCGTGTAATGTAATGTCTCAGCACACCCAGAAGGTATAGCAACAGTCCCTCTCATTGGTAGAGCGCTTCGCTGTCACATATTTTCTCTCATTTCCTTCAGCTCTTGGTGAAATAAGGCCGGGCATAAAAAATATATAAAGCCCTATTTTTGCCTACAAAGAACAGGTATTACTTTTCCCATTTAACAACGGAGGAAACTGGCTCAGAGAGGCAAAATAATTTTAGCGCGTGGCACAACTGAAACCCAAACTCAGGTCTATCTGATTTCAAGAGCTCCTTCTGCCATGAAGGAACACATTGCTTCTCATTTATTATGTGTACCCATTTTGCAGTAGTGTGAGCTAACGTATCCTAGGGCCATAGCAGTCAGCTTGTTGGTTGGGAATAGAAGCCAGGAATCCTGCTACTAGGTTGTCCCGTCCTCTATCACTAGGATATAGTACTAAGTCTAACTGTAACTGAGGTGTGGGTGCCAGGTGACAGTGGGAAGGCACAGTGGGGAAAGGAGATAAGCTTGGTGCCTGATTCTAGACCTAGAAATTTAAGTAAGAAATAGACATGGGACGCCTGGGTGGTTCAGTCGGGTTAAGCATCCGATTTCGGCTTCAGACCATGCATGATCTCGCGGTTTGTGAGGTCAAGCCCTGAATCGGGCTCTGTGCTGACAGCTCGGAGCCTGGAGCCTGCTTCAGATTCTGTGCCTCTCCCTCTCTCTCTCTCTCTCTCTCTCTCTCTCTCTCTCTCTGCCCCTCCCTCGCTTGGACACACACTCTCCCTCAAAAATAAATAAATAAAACATTTAAAAAGAAAAAAAAGAAATAGACGTGGCATGTGGCAGAGGGGGGAAACAGGCTTTGGAAGTTGACAGACTTCAGTTTATTTATTTAAAAAAAATTTTTTTTTAATGTTTATTCATTTTTGAGAGAGAGACAGAGGGCATGAGTGGGTGAGGGACAGAGAGAGAGAGAGAGGGAGACACAGAATCCGAAGCAGGCTCCAGGCTCTGAGCGGTCAGCACAGAGCCCGACACGGGGCTCGAACCCACAAACCGCAAGATCAGGACCTAAGCCAAAGTCGGACGCTCAACCGACTGAGGCACCCAGGCACCCTGATAGACCTCAGTTTAAATCCTATCTCTAAAATCCCTAGAGTTATAACTTAGACGATTTTTTTCTCTTTGAAACTTGGTGTCTTTTATCTGTCAGTCTGGGGCATACACCCACCTCTCTGAGTTGTCGTCAGGATTGAATGATAGTGTGGGGGTAAAACACCAGACACACTGCTGGAAGGTGCCCAGTAAAAGGAGAGAAAGCTTTTTGATCAAACCGAGTGGGAAGGGGCTCATCCTCAGGAGAAGGGAGGAATTGGCATGCCTTACCTTTGCTCCAACTCTGTCTCTGTCTCTGTGCCATTAGCTGCAGATGCCTGTGAGCTGAGTGCCCAGCCCAATGGAGGCTGTGAGTACCTGTGCCTTCCTGCTCCTCAGATCTCCAGCCCCTCTCCCAAGTACACGTGTGCCTGTCCTGACACAATGTGGCTGGGCCCAGACATGAAGAGGTGCTACCGAGGTAAGCAGACCTACCAGGAGGGCTGGCCCCTGGCAGTGCGAGACCCCCTCCTGCTAACACCCTCCATGGGCTTCTGGGATGACATATGCTCCTGGTTTTCCTCTGTCTTTTCTGGCTACTTATTGTCTCTTCTTTACCTTCCTTGTATGCTGGTTTTCCCCAGGGTCCGTCTGAGGCTTTCTCCTCTTACTTCCAAGAAAAATGCACATATACATACAACATTTTAAATTCAGTTTCAGGGGGTTTCTGGAACCCCTTAAAGACCTGAAATTAAGAACCCTTGACCCCTATGGCTTCAGTTACTGTTTATATGCAGGTGACTCTGAGCTTGCCTCTTCCTCACCTAGAACTTAACACAGGAAGAAGCCCTTTTGTGATACGATTGAGACTAATAGTCATGACTTCGGCCATACAGGTTTATATTCAACGTTCAGTCTTGACACAGGGCCAAGGCCTTTTGTTTGAACATAAATCTGCTGCATCATTTGGGATTTCCATGTTCCACTTTGTTTATAGTGGAGTGAGAATTTCGACCTAGCAGGGTAATAATATGCATGTAAAATCCTTGTAGATTTGTGTGATTTTCCCTTACTCCCAATCTTTAACAGTGGTCTTCCCACACCTAATTCTATAGTCTTGCTTTAATGACTTGTCTTCATCAAATCAGTGTGCAGTATAAACCCAAAGTGCTTGGGATTCAGCTAAAGAAAAGGTCATAGTCCATTCAGGAGGTTTAGGGAAGGCTTCCCAGAAGTGGCATTTGAGCTGAGCCATGAGGATGAGTTCATAAGTATAATTCATAGAGGCAAAAGGTTAGACATAAGGCAACAAAAACTCTCTGTCCAAGTGACCTCCACGGTGTTTCCCCTCCAGCACCTCAATCTACCTCAACTACGATGTTAGCTCCTACCACAACGAGGACACTAGCCGACACCGCAAGAGCCCCTGGGACCACCGTCCACAGCCTCACCTCCCAGAACCACAGCACAGAGACACCAAGCCTGGCAGCTGTGGTCCCCAGCTCAGTTAGTGTCCCCAGGGCTCCAAGCATCAGCCCGTCTACCCCAAGCCCTGCGACCAGCAACCACTCCCAGCACTGTAAGTAAATGAGTTCTGTGTTCTTTCATGATGGGGGGATATGTGGGAAGACGAGGTCATATCAGAACAGAATATTGGACCTCGCTGAGGAAGCAGGTGGAGGTGCCCACCTACAATTTAAAAGTCTTAGGTGCCACTAACTTGTAGAGGGTCTTGCAAGAAGCCACTTCCTATCCCTGAGCCTCAGTTTCCTCACCTACAAAGTGGGAAGAATAACTACCCTTACCCTACCTGCTTCACAAGACCACTAGGACAGACAAAGAAGGCAGTGTAAACAGAAGTGCTCACGTACACAGTCTCTTCTGTCACTGGGTGTGTATTTCATGCATTACTGACGTGTATGAGGGGTGTCCCCCAGATTTGGAAACCTCAGAAGCTCTGGTCTCGGTTCTTAGCCCTCTCGGCAGGTTCCCCAGATAGTAATATCCATAACTATGGTCTGCTTGTGCCTCTTTCCAAACCCTGGCATGAAAATAAGTAAGTTTAGCACTTATTAAATCATTGGGAGCAGTAGTTGTCACTGCTAGAAACGTTCTGTCTCATTGGCCAGCAAATATCTTTTTAATTGAGTCACCTGCCAGGGGGAGTTCATTTAAGAGAAACCATCTTTTAGATTCTCATCCCACACGTGGCCCGGAAGCCAGGCGGCTCGGCAGCACCTTTCTCATCGGACCCATTTTGCCGGCAGAAGCTGGGTTTCCAGAGCAGAGCACTCATCTTGAAGTTTGGAGAGGCACATGGCACCTGGGTGAATTCCAGTTCCTGTCACCTGGGGCACAGCCTCCGAGCAGAGAGTCTCCCCGCTGGCTTCACGCCGCTCTGGGCTTTGCTGTGGCCGTCGGGCGCTTGCTCATGTGCAGCGCCCCGTAACACTTAGGTTGCCTTAGAGTAACTTGGAGAAACGGGCGCGCCGTGAGGGTGGCATCTGGGCCATTGCCGGGACAATCGTCTGCCCTCTTGGAGCGAGTGTAGCTGGTGAAGTCCCTCTTCACACCTCAGAGGGCCGTCAGTGGATCCGAAAAAACTGCTTTGTAAACTAAAAAGCGCTATAGAGATGTTATCGTGAAGACAGTTTTAAGAGTGGAAAAGATGGCACAGCATACTTTAAAAATACAGTACATTTTCTGAGCCCTTTTCAGTTTAGAACGTGCTTTTATATACCTTATTTAGGCCTCGAAACACCCCCCACCCAACTCCCACCCACTTTGAACCAGGCAAGGCTGTGCCAGGCATTGTGCTAAGTAAGGATTCTACATGAATTCTCTCACTTAATCTTTGCAGGATCCAGAGGAGGTAGGTAACTTGCCCACACAAGTAGGTAACCTGCCCAAACCCAGGAGTCTGTGCCGTTGATTCCACTATGTTATGTCGCATCCCAATTTAATTCCTTATTGAAAATAAGCTGGCAATGCAGATGGACAAACAGACCACCGAAACAACAGAGACCAAGGAACAGATACCGGCTGGCAAAGGCAGTTGCCCCAGTTGGTCAGCAACATGGAGACCTAAGTGCTCACTCTGCCAGGCACACCCCCCAGCTTCCTACACTGTGATACTGTGGAAAGGGTAAGAGACTTGGGGCACAAGTCCTGGGTTTGGGTCCCAGCTCTGCTGGACAGTCACTCTCTCTTGAGTCCCTAGAACCCCAGTAAGACTCTGTTTCCCCATGTGTGAAAGGGAGATAACCTCTGTCCTGCTCACCTCAAGGGAGTTTTGATAGGATCTGGAAAGACTACATTGTTCGGCATTAGCCAGGATCATCACTTCGGAATGAGGGCAGGAAGCAGTTGGGCAATTCTTACAGCGTGAGGCCAGCAAGGACTTGGGTGACAGAGCATCGTTCTGCACATTTGTGTTTTGCAGATGGGAATGAAGGTGGCAAGATGGGCTCAACAGTCACTGCTGCTGTCATTGGGATCATCGTGCCCATGGGTGAGTGTGGCCCCGAGTTACTGTGGAAAAGAGAGAACCGATGCTCGGGGTCTGGGGAAAAGCACTAGAAAGGCCAAGCACTTAGCACACGGACCTGTCTCATTGACTTTTTCTGTCCCGGCAGCCTTCCCACCCACTTCCAGTCCTATAATTTGGTTTCTTAGCTTGGCACACAAGGCCCCTCAGGACCTGACCCCAGGCAGCCCCCAGTGCACCCCTGCTCCCCACTATTCACACTCTGCATGCCAGCCATGTGAAGGCAGACTGTAGGCTCCATGGGGACAGGGCTGGAGCTTCTCTTGCTCGCCACTCTCCCCAGCTGCTCGCAGTGGCTGGCACGCGGTGGGAAATAAAGTATTTGTTGAATGAATGAGGAGAGCTGCTTGCCATTCCTTTAGTAGATCATGCTGTTTTGCTTTCTTTCTGTTTGGTTTTCAACAAACATTTATCAAGCAGCTGCGAGGTACCAGCCTCTGTGAGGTGGAAGGAAGGTGATTAAAAATGACTAAAACATGGTTCTTGTCCTCCAAAAGTTTAGTCTTGTCGGAGAGATACACATAACAGATAATTTTGATTATGTCAGGGGAAGTCCTAAAACAAAGCCATATGTGGCCCAGTGGAAGTGCTGAAGAAGTGCTTAACTTGGAATCGGTAGGGAAGGTTTCCTAGTGGAAATGATAATGTGAGCTGAGTCAGCCAAATGAAGAAGAATCCAGAGCAACCTGAGCAGTGATAACAGCATGAAGTAAAAACAGCACCGGGAAATAGCATGGGGAGGGGAGAGAGTGGGTTTGGAACTAGAAGTTCGATATGGCCACAATATAACATTTAAACCTCACGGAGAACCACGGAGGCCGATTTATTCTCTCGCCTCCCGCTGTTCACATAGCATCCTGAATATGCCGTGTCTTATACCCGTCTCATCTCTTGGTGGGATCTTTGAATTGCAACTGTCCATTTGCAAGTTGATCTCCCTGGCTTGCCCACAAGCACCTCAGGGACAGGGACTTTGCCCATTTATCCTGGGAGTCCTCAGTATGGTGGTGAGCCAGTGAGTGAATGTTTTAAAAACTTCTACTCCGGGCAAGGGACTGTGCCAAGTGCCAAGGACCCAGGGAAGAAAAAGATAAAAAAAGACTTTAAGACCTTTCGGTCTTTAGTCAGACTTAGTCATAGAAAGTGATACAAGAGAGGTGTTAACACGTATCACAATGTGCTGTAATAGAAGCGCGATGCCCGGCAGAGGAGAGGGGATGGTACTTCTGGAGAAGATGCCATTTGAATTGGCCTTGAAAGTCTTCAGCACTAAAGATGATGGAGAGACTACTTCAGGCCGATTTGGAGTAGAGTGAGTGAAAAATACTCTGAAGGTTGCTTAGTGAAAGAGAAATCAAGCCCTTTCCTGACATATTCTGTTCTATAGAAGGGCTTGTATATGCGCCTTCCCTGATACAATACACTCTGATATGATTAATATTTTTAATTTCTGCTCATCTGAGAGGTTAAAGATGAATATTCTTTCCCTGATATTTCCCTATGAGGTAGAGTATCTTTTCATAAGCTTAATGGCCATTTATATTTCATCCTTAATGAATTGCTTATTCACAGTCTTGTTTTTCTGTTGGTTCTGGTTCTTATTCTTACTTATTTGTAGAAATATTTATACATGATGAATATTAAACCTTTGTAATATATGTGACAAATATTTTCTCCCATACTGCCTCTTGATTTATAAATGTGTTCGTGGTATCTTTTGCCACGCATAAACTTAAAAATTTTAAGTATCAGATCTGTTCATCGTTTGTGTTATGACTTCCAGGTTTTGTGTTTTACATAGGAAGGTCTGCCTCACTATAAATTATTAAAATATCTCCCTATACATTCTTCTGCTAAACATTGTTTTATATTTAGATAGCAATCCATTTGGAATTTATTATAGAGTATGGTGTGAGGTAGAGACTGAACTATTTTTTTTTCTATAGGCCTGTTTAGTTTTCCCAAGACCCTCATTGAATAATTCATCCTTCTGACTTGAACTGTCATCTTTATATTAAACTACATGGCTCTCTAGACTTTGATCTGCTGCTAGCCTCTTTATTCTCTGTTCCTACGTACCAGAAGAACAACTCCGTGCTGTGCTTTAGCTTCTAATAGGGCATCATTATTCTTGCAATATTTTCTTAGCTGTTTTTTCCAACTTCTCTTCTAGATGAACTTTAGAATCATCTTTATAAAAACTATGGTGGAATCGTATGCTTTGGATATATAAATTGATATGGGGAGAATTCATGTTTTTACAGTATTGAAGCTTCCCATCCAGGAACTTAACACATCTCCCTATTTATTTGAGTCTTTTGTGTCCTTTTATAAAATTTTGTAGATCATATAGGAGTTGCACATTTCCTGCTAGGTTATTCCAGGTATTTTATGGTTTTTGTTGGGCTGCTGTGAATGTGTTCTGTTCTTCTTCCATTCCACTTTCGAACTGGTTATTGCTAATTAATAAGAAAGCTATTGACTTTTTGTTAATTTTTTAAAAAGCTTTATTCATTTTGAGAGAGAGAGAGAGAGAGCATGAGCGAGGGAGAGGTAGAGAGAGAGAGAAAATCTCAAGCCCAGGATTTGATCCCATGAGACATGAGACCATGACCTGAGCCAAAACCAGGAGCTGGATGTTTAACTGACTGAGTCACCCCAGCATCCCTTATATGAACTGTTGATGAACTAAAGTTATTTATAATAGTTTTTCATCTGCTTTTCTAAGATTTTCTAAGCATACAAAACTGATAAGTTTGGTATTCCCTCTTTCCCCTGTGTGTACCCTTCAATTCTTTATCTGTTCTTACTGCATAGATAGGTCTCTGGAATAATAAATACTAGCAATGGTAACAGGTATCCTTGCCTTGTTCCTATCTTTAATGGGTCTTGATTATTACAGTCTAACTGAAGTAAAACCCCCCCTCTCTAGCGTCCTGGATGCTGTCATCAGCCTCCACTTGAATGCTCATGGTGATTGTCTACTCTCTTATGAAGCTGCTTGCGCCCGTTTTGCCCAGCTCTGTTTGAGAACTTCCTCCTTTACTCATTAATATATTCATCTATTCCAACTCAGAGCTTGTGTTTTCCCGCTGTGTCCCCCTCTAGAGATGCTTCTCTTCTTGCAGAGTCCCAGCTTTGGGAAGAAACACCCCACCCCCACCATCCACTCTCCATTGGAGGAGAGAATGGTTTTCTCAGAGAAATCCAAGAAAGCAGCAGCATTAGGACAAAGGTGTGGTGAAGAAATTCACTCATTCACTCAGTACATGTTGCTGAGCAAAGCACCAGGCATAGAGAGATAAAGAAGACACAGTCCCTGCCCACAAAGAGCACAATCTAGTTGGGGGTACAGATATATAAAGTATAGTACCGTAGGCTCGGAACACACATGAGAGAGCAACTGACTCTTCCTTGAGAAGTTGAGAAGACTTCACATTTGAGCTGGATCTCAAGGGATCAGTAGTTAATAAAGGAAGAGATAGGAGAAGGGCTTCCAAGCAGCAGCAGAAGAACACAGCACAACGGCCTGAGCAACAAGGGGCAGGAAAGTTAGAGAGGCGGCGAGAAGTGTAGAGAGACGTCTGAGCAGTGGGCTAGAGCCTGCTGGAAGTTCAGTGTAATGTGTCCCTTCCTCCAGCGGTAATAGCCCTGCTGTGCATGAGTGGCTACCTGATCTGGAGAAACTGGAAGCGGAAGAACACCAAAAGCATGAATTTTGACAACCCAGTGTACAGGAAAACAACAGAAGAAGAAGAAGAGGATGAGCTCCACATAGGGAGGACTGCTCAGATCGGCCATGTCTATCCTGCAGTAAGTATCCCTTGCTGGAAGAATTCCTTCCTTCCTTCCATCCTTCCCTCTCTTCCCCCCTTCCTCACCCCTCCTTCCTCCCCTTCCTTCCCTCCCTCCCTCCCTCCCTCCCTTCCTTCCTTCCTTCCTTCCTTCCTTCCTTCCTTCCTTCCTTCCTTCCTTCCTGCCTTCCAACTTTATCAAGAACCTACCATGTGCCAGGCACTCCTCTAGGCCCTGGGGACACAGAAATGCTGGGACAGGTGTTTGGGGTAGAAGTGTATAAGGGCCACCTTGTAGCTAGAGGCTCTTCCTTAGGGTAAAGAAGCCAAATGTCTTTCTTTCTGCTGAGTACATTTTCAGAACCTTTGGCCTGGAAGGGTAACTGTGGCCGTGCAATTCAAATGTATTTGTTTCAACAAACACTGTATGCTGGCCGTGAGCCAAGCACCACACTGGATGTGACGTGTTCACAAGTAAGAAAGAAACGTACTCTCTTCCAAGTTGCTGGTGGGGGGGTGAGAGAGAGTCACTTATTATTGTACGGCTGTGTGTGTCATGCCACGGTGGAGCTCAGGAGTCTCTCTTCCAGGAAGCTTTCCCTGGTTTCTTTGTTCTCCCACAGCCTCTGTCCATCACAGCACCTGTCACACTGTAGTCAACTTGTCTTTTTGCACATTGGTCTCCCCACTAGACCGGGAACTCCTTGAGGGCCGGATTGTCTGATTAATCTGTTTCCCTGGTGCCTAGCACAGAACTAGGTGGCTCCCAGTACATATTTGCTGAACAAATGCTATGGAAACACCAACAGGGGAGCTATTCATTTGGTTTGGGAGATCAGGCAGGGAATGCCTCACAGAGGCTGTGACAGATGAACTGTGTCCTTGAAAGGTTAATAGCAATTATCCAGCGAGAGGAGGAGAAAAATGGCATTCCAGAAAGAAGCATGTGCAAAGGCTGAGGGGTACAATAGGGCATGGCTTGTTGGGGGAGCAAGGACCGCAAAGTGTCTGGAGCAGATGGCATGGTTGTATAGCAGAGTCAGGGGGCTGAGTGTGACCTCATAGGTCATCCAGTCCATCCCCCTGTCAGGCGATCAGCAGCTTTGATCACCCACTGTGGGCAGAGCCCTGTCTTGGGGAGACCAGAGAACTGGAAGACCCAGCCCCTGCCCTCAAGGAGCTTTTTGTCTTGCCGGGGGAACCAAGGTCACAGCTGCACCAACTCCCGAAGAACCCTCTTTCCGAGCTGCCTGTCGTCAAGTGCAAGGTAGGGCAGTGCCACTTTGAGTCTGAGGGGCTGGTGAGTGAGGGCGTGAGCTTAGGCAGGTGCAGCCAATCCCAGGTGGCTTTCCGGTCCTGGAAGGCTGCAAATTGTAAGCTGGGTGTCGGGGCAGAGGAAAGATGAGCTCGTTGCTGACCAAGGAAAGGGTGTGTGGAAGAAATCATCAAGTATGGGGCAGGGCAGTGTGCATTGTACATTATTCATAAGGGAGACATGGTAAATGAAGTTGAGCAAGTGAGGAGGGTCAGCAGATGGCCTTGAGCCTTCCCCTTGGCCAATCATACAAACAGGTGTTTGACCAAGTTTTAAAGACTTGGGCGGGGGTGGGGGACACAGTGGACGAAGCGTTGAGCTTAGCCTGAGGAGGTGGCTCCCAGTGTCACTGCTCTGTAGCCTTGTGGTCTCAGTCACTTCTCTCTGCTCACTTCTATTTGTAAAATTGGAATGATAACCCCCATTCTGTCTGCCTCCTAAATTCATAGTGTTCAGGTGAGACAGCTCACGTGAGAGAGCTTTGTGAGTTATAAAGCACTCTACACGCGTAAAGTAGATGTGTAGAACAAATAACCACTCTGGAGGAGCTATTCCTGATGCCTCGAGGGCCTGAGGAATAAGCTCTTGCCAGTTGCAGAGAAATAGGAGATATTTAGTGAGACCTCCTGTGTGTCAGACACTACTCTGTGTTTTACATACACTTCCTTGTATTGTCTTCACAGTAACTTTATACAGTTGATATGATTAGCTGCATTTTGCAGATGGGGAAACTGAGAGTCAGAGAATCTGAATAACTGGCCTAGGGTCACAACTAAGAAGCAGAAGGACCAGGATAAAAACTCCAGTCTGTATGTACACAAAAGTCGGTGCTCTTTCCACTTACGTCATGGGGCAGATGGCCTGGAATCTTGTTCAGTATCCTCAACAACCCGTTCTCCCCCCTATCCTTGTCTCACTCCACCATCACTTCTGGGACCTACCTTTGGCCTAGAGATCTGTCTTGGGGAGAGTGGGAGGATAACAGGACCAGAAGAGAGTCTCAAGTGTCAGTGCTAGTAGAGCAAGGCCATGGTATTCTTGCAAAGCCCAAAGATGATCTGAAAGGCAGGGGGGTCACTTTTGATGGTGGGCTGTCCAGAGATGGGAAATGCTAGTCTGGTTCTATTTTATTCTGCTGGTCAAGTTGGTCTAGAATACTCTAGACCTCATGTGTGTTACTGTATTAAGCACTCTATAGACATTACCTCATCTGCTTTCTCAACGACTCTATGTGGAGGTCCTGTTATTCCCATCTGACAGATGAGAAAACCAAGGCTCTGAGGGGTGAAGTGGTTAGCCCAAATTCACTTAGCTATGAGAAAGATAGCAAAACACTGGGGTCTGCCCAAGGAGTGTATCCAGGAAATGGAAGAGTGGCAAGCAGGATTATATCAGGCCCAGTTGGGGAAAGCTTGATGTGTAACCCAGAGGAGAAAACACTCAGAAGGAAAGGAAGAGAACTCAAACACTATCCGCATATTTCAAGGGTTGTCTGTATAGAACCCTCTGGGTCTAAGAGAATCAGAGAACATTAGAATATTTAAAGAAACAGATTTCATGTCAGTATAGGAAAGAAGTTAAGTCCACTGTCCACTGTTCCAATGGAATAGACCACCTCAGGGGCTAATGGGTTCAGCCCAGTACAGTCAGCCATTTGTGGGCGGGTGAGTCTAGCTAGACTAGTCTAGCTAAGTCTAGTCTATCTAATGACTAGAAAGTAAGGTTGAGGGAAAGAGGGATTGAATGTAATCAACTTGTATCACATTCTGATTCTGTGTAATCAGGAGGGGTGCGACAGATTGCCTTCCTAATTGTGACTCACAAGCTAGAGACAAGTGGCTAATGGCCTGGGATTAAACATTTGCCAAAGCTAAGCCACTGAAGTTGAACAAATCTAAAATCCTATAAGGAAGGACCGAGGAAGTTGAGATCTCTGCAGGGATCCTTTACAAAGAGGCAAAAGCTACAACTCTGGATTCACACAGATCTGAGTTCAAATTTTAGTTCACCCATGTGCTATGTGATCCAGGACAAATGTTGTTAAAGCTCATCGAGTCTCAGTTTCCTCATCTATAAAATAAATATGACAAACCTGTCTCTTGGGGTAATATGAAGATTATGTGAGCTAATGCCTATAAAGTAATAGAATGTCTGGTGCTTTGTGGGCACTCAATAAATAGCTCCTGTGGGTCTAATGGTGATTTCTTTGCTCTGTCTCCCCAGCGAGTGGCATTAAGCCTTGAAGATGATGGACTGCCCTGAGGATGGGACCACTCCCTTCGTGCCTCATGGAATTCGGTCCCATGCACTACACTCTCTGGATGGTGTATGCCTGGATGAAAGGGTTTTCTGTATATGGGTCTGTGTGAGTGAGTGTGTGTATGTGTAATTTTTTTTTTAATTTATGTTGCAGAAAGGTAACCACAAAGTTATGATGAACTGCAAACATCCAAAGGATGTGAGAGTTTTTATATGTATAATGTTTTATACACTTTTTAACTGGTTGCACTACCCATGAGGAGTTCATGGAATAGCTACTGCTGAGTGACTAACATGATGTACATAACCAAATGGGGCTGACGGTCCAGTAGCTTACTCATCATTTTAAAACTATATTTACAGAGGGTATTTGGTTTGGGGGGGATTTTTTAGGTTTTGGAGTTTGGGGTTTGATTTTTTTTTTTTTTTTTT